TTAAATGCCATGCTGTCCTTGACTTGAAATTCTTAATGGTCATTAAATGAAGGGACTCACATTTTCACTTTGCACTGGGTCCTGCAGATTTTGAAGGCAGTTCTACTTATATCACTCATTTACTTTTAGTTCTCAGTTGGTTCTACTTAGCTAGGGAAAAGAGATGCTATTTATTGAATAGCTCCTCAAAATTCCAATATACTACATCACATAGAGAGTGACATCATGTAATGATAAAAAGCACAATCTATGGAATTTATGAAGAAGATATATGCATAAAATTGATTTATATCATGCAATGTAGAAATTAAATACATTATATTGAACAATTAGTAAAATAAAGAAAATGTGGTAAAAATATGATTATAAGTAAAGGCTTTAATATACTTCTTTTAGAATAGGATGGTTACAATAGCCAAAAACATTAAAACAAAACATGGAGGAATTGAATATCCCTCCCATGGAGATTTATATTTTTCTATATGTCTATGGAACATTTACAAAAATCAGTTGTTTGCTTAATCTCAAAGAAAATTTTAAAACCTAAAAAACTGAGGGATTTTATAGCTTACATTTAATTAGCATAATCCAATAAAATTTGAAAAAATAAATGAAAGAGGCTCCCACCAAAATCTTAACTATGTGGACATAAAGAAAGATACATGCTCCTGGAAAATTTTTGAAATTAAAGAGTAAAACCTGGAAATTACATCAAGAAAGCAGTAAAGAGGAGCACCTGAATTTTGAAAACCAACAGGAATAAGAGGATTTATTCCCCCAAAAGGAATAAAGTACTCAAGAAATTTAGGGGGGAAAAACCCCAACAAAACACAAAATAGAGTAAAGTTATTAGCTGATGGAATTTATAAAAATAAAAAGAGGAAAATAATAAAACAATAAAATCCTAAAAAGGACCAGAAAAGTATACATGCAGTGTTTTTTAAAAAGATTAAAGAGATATCTAACTCATTCTCAGGTGATCATGATTAAGAAAGAGTGAGGAAAAAAATAAATCACATTAAGAATAAAACATCAGCCATACCACAGGTACAGGAGAGGTTAAATCTATAGCAACAAAATGGAAAATCTACAAAAAGTTGTTTACTAGCTAAATACAAATTACCAAATTTACCCCAAAATAAATGTAAAACCTAAAATTATCAATTACCTGAGAGACATTAGAAAGGCATTTAAATACTGTCTACACCATTGAAAAAGCCAGCAAGAACAGAGAAGCTCAAAGCAGAATTTTAGCTAACTCTTAAGAACAGCAAGTTTCAATTTTATTTAAAACCTATCAAGTTGTAGAAATAGTTAGAATGCTCCCCAGTTCACTTTTTGAAGACATCCTAATGTTAACACCAAAATCTTAAAAATTAGTTAAAAATATATATAGCCCTATAATACAAGAATATCACATAACTTCTATAAGCTTTGGAAAAGAAGGCTTTAAGAAAAACATTTCATCCATGTTTTGATTCTATACCTAGAAAATCTAAAAACTGTAGAAAAAAATCAAAATGAATAAGGAAAATACTCCCAAATCAATACCTTCTTTTCTAGTAATAAACAACTAGAAATGGAAATGGGAAACATATCCCATCCCCAATATCAATAAAACCTATAGAAACACAGAAATAAATATGATAATACAGGCACAATAAAATAAAATTATATGAAAGTAGAAAAAACAAGACATAAACAAGTGGAAATAATATTCTTGGATATAAATATCAAATTTAATAAAAATATATTACCTCGATGTTTATTTATGGATTTTATGCAACTCCAATTAGAATCCAAATTGTTTTATAGATTGTGAGAGTGGGGAAGATAGTTAACATGATCTTAAATTTCTCCAGAAGAATAACTATTTGAGAACAGCCAAGAAAAGTTTCTGAAAGAACAAAGTGAGGATTCATTGGTCTTATCAGATATCAGGATGTACTATAAAACTATAATAATCAGACTGGTGGAATAGAATAAATATTCCAGATATAAATCTCCGTATACATAAAAAAATTTAATATATGCCAAAGGTGGTCATTTAATTCTTTAGGAAAGATATGATTTTAATAAATGATTTTGGGACAAGTAGACATATGTCTTGAAAAAAATTGGATATTTATCCAATTTAAAATTTAAAAATTGAAGTGAATTAAATAATTGAATAGGGAAAAAAATAATACAGGTCTTACAGGAAAATTCAAGAGACCTAATATTGACCTACAGTTAATGGAGTGCTTATATACTATGAGATGAAAAAGGAACAAAAACCAACCTATTTTTAATAAAAATGAGCAATCGATTTGGAAAAAAATAATTACAACATAAATTAAGATAAAGTCTCGGTAGTGATAATAAAAATAGGGCAGCAAAAGGGATAAATAGAAAAAATGGGCAGAAATACGCATATTAACCAACAGCAACCTAAGTCCCTCACAAATATGAAAAGATTCTTAAACTTACTAGGAGTTAGGAAAGCACAGATGAAAGTAGCAATGAATATTATTGCATTCTTATCAGACTGACAAACAACTGCTGGCTATGAGATGAAAAAGGAACAAAAACCAACCTATTTTTAATAAAAATGAGCAATCGATTTGGAAAAAATAATTACAACATAAATTAAGATAAAGTCTCGGTAGTGATAATAAAAATAGGGCAGCAAAAGGGATAAATAGAAAAAATGGGCAGAAATACGCATATTAACCAACAGCAACCTAAGTCCCTCACAAATATGAAAAGATTCTTAAACTTACTAGGAGTTAGGAAAGCACAGATGAAAGTAGCAATGAATATTATTGCATTCTTATCAGACTGACAAACAACTGCTGGTGGAAATGTGCGTCGCCAGTGCTTTTCTGAAAGCAATCTGCAAACATCCGTTGAAATTTAAAAGTTAATGTATACTCTTTGGTTTAATATCAGTCCTGGGAACGTAACCCGTATAAACCAAGCCTGCCAGACGTCATGATATTTGTACAAGGAAGTCGACTGTGGCTGTATTGAGAGTGGAAAAGGTGCGGCCGCGGGCGCGGGGCGCGGGGCTGGGCGGCGGTTGGAGGTAACGGAGCAGCGCGAGCACGTCGTGGCGGCGGCGAGGACGAGGACGCGGACGCTGGCGGGGCCGGGCCGGCGGGAGGAGGGGGAGCGACGGCGGAGCCCTCGGGGGTCTGCGGATGCGGCGTCGGTGGCCGACAGCTACACACTCATCAGAGGGAGCCTCACCCAGGCGGCCTGAAGGTGACTCCACAGCTCTCTCTGCCTCCCTCGACCCGCCCGAGGGTTTCTGGGCCTTGCTCCTTCTGCTGGCCTTTGTGGGGATCCGAACCCTTGACCCGGGTGTTACAACGCTGTGAAACACTCAGAAGATCTGCTGACATCATCCGTTGACCATATCTTCTCTTCTATAATTTTCATCTGTCTGTGCTGCAATGTGGGTAATTTCTTTGGATCTGTGTACCAGTTGGCTAATTCCCTCTTCAGGGAAAAGAATGTGTGAAAACTCAACCCCATCCGTGAATTTGTTACAACACAGGAGAAGTAATTCTGCCTAAGGTCACCAAAGAAGAAGAAAGATGTTGCGGATAAAGATTGAGTCCAATTACATAATGCACTCCAGTGCCTACTGGTGGTGGGCCCCAGGTGCTTGGTGTGAAGGAGCAAGAAGCAGCAGGTCCACACACAGGGGTGGTGCTAGAGTTTGCAGCCATAGCAGGTGTGGTGAGGCCAGGTAAGCTGCAGGAACCCTTATGGGTGGTGAAAATAGATGGGTCTCCTATCGCATGTTTCTTCCTCATGGTGGTGGCTCTTCTTTGTGTAAGGGCTTTTTCTGTTCAGGTGTGCCCAAGGTGGTCTGATGGAAAGCAGGAGCACAAGGGCATCCAACCTTGGGTATGGTGCCAGTGTGTGGGCAGGTGTTCCCCAGACACCTGGAATGTAGGTGACTGAAAGTGTGCTCAAATACAGGAGTGCTCCTGGCCCCTCCTGTCCCAGCAACTGTCCTGTGGCCAGATGGGTCCCAGGTTACCTGACCAAAGCCAGAAACAGAAGTGGTGCAGGGTGTTCCACTCAGTCCTGCTACAAAGTTGAGTTCTCTGGATGCAGAACTGGGGCCTGGATCAGACATGCTGACCCCAAAGCTCCCACCACCCATATGTGTTGCAGGTCCCATGAATGCCAGTGGGCCCCAAGTGGTGTTGGCCAACAGTGAGGTACTGTTCCCAGTGCTGGGCATCCCGGTGGCACCTCCAAAGCCAAAAATCATGTCTTTGCTAATGGGGAAAGCACTTGGGGTGTTACCAAAGGCCAGGTGGGTGTTGGCTAGTGGGCCAAATGCAGACCCTGGTGGTGTCGAACCTACAACTCAGGCTGCATGATGCTGCTACCAGGCAGCTGGGTTGCAGGGGAAGTCAGGCCTGTAGCTTGTGCTGGAGCTGGGGGATTCCCCCAAAGGAAAGTTGCTGTAAGACTGCTGCCCACCAGGGACCCCAAGCAGGGGCGGCTGCTGGATTTAAATGGTGGTTGGATCTTACGTTTGGTCCCCTCACTGACTGTGCAAACCAAACGGTGGCAACTTGGGCTGAGGCAGTGCAGCCATGGGGTGGTGTGTTCCCAGAGCCAGGAAGCACCATGTAAAATGGCATGTAGTTCTCTCTGGAGATGGGGGGAGACTAGAAGAGGACAGCCTTGGAAGAAGGGGTGGTATCCATAGTATCGGAGTCAAAGGCAGCCTTGGATGATATTATTGCAGAGGAGCTGCCTACTAGACTGGAGTCGGTGGTGGTGGTGGTGGTGGTGAGAGTAACTGGGACCTGCAAAGTGTGAGTGGGCAGGAGCAGGGAGTCTATGGCCTCTGCAGCAGCGGGGGAGGGGTGGGGCTGAGGGTAGTGCAGTCTGGCCTGGCCTCTGTCTCATCCCACAAGGCCTCCTCATCCTCCACCACCCTGCTGTTCGCTTGACACTCAGTGCTCTCCAAAGTGCCCTGGTCTTCTTCCTCAGTAGCTCTGCCAAGAATCTTCGGAGATGAGCAGCTCACTTGCATTTCCTGGTAGCAGCAGTGGCAGTGGCAGTGGCATCGGCATCCCAGGTTTCCTTCTGCAGGACCTACTCCTGGCAGCTGTGGGTGGAATGCAGCTGTCCGATGGACTATCCAGAGGCTTTTTGCACTGCAGCTACTTCCCTGGTATCAGCGAACCTGGAGAGCTGGGCCGATGGTCTTCCTCCTGCACTTCCTTGGCCTTCTTCTCTGGCAGCAAGGAACAGCCTGGGGTTGGGTCAGGGAGCACTGCCTCATCTGGATCAGGCTTTCCTGGAGGCTGGACACCTCCAGCAGGGCTGCGTGAGATGGGACAGTGTGGCCTTCAGAGAGGGAGCTGGTGGGAGACAGCTGGGCCTTGTCCCTCAAGTTGTTTCCTGAGTGCTTGGGATAGATGCCTCCTTCCAGAGGACCAGGACTGCACATGAAGGAAGGGGAGGTCTCCTTTGTCCTCCAGGGACTTAGATGTGGAGGAAACATCCCCGTTGCTAGCGGGGGCCTGTTCTTAGCATGCTACCCTTCTGTCTGTACATGATCCTCCTCTTCCTTTGCCATACCTTTTCTGGACTCTTCTTGGGCCCTGGCCTCAGTCTCCTTTGGGCAATGAAGGGGCAGATGACTCGATGTTACCAGCTTTGTAGCTGAGACTACTTGCTCAGGTGGTGAAGGCAGAAGAGTAAACTTGCACTGGGAAGGAGGGATCCTTACGGAACTCAAGTGTCTGAATATCAGGAAGTTGTAAGCAGACAGCTCGAGCTTCTTTGGAGCCTCCCCCCAGGATGTCTGAGGAAGGATCCCCACAGAGGAGGACATAGCCTGCCTGATAGGGTAGTGCCTCTAGGGAGTGATTTAATAGCTGGCTGGTAAAGGTACACAATTCCAATTCCAGGTGGAATTCCAAGTGGCCGAGGATGGCTAAGCTGGGCTGATGGCGGGAAGGGGGACCAAGCTTCCTGAAAAATTTCCCATTTAGGGCAGGCCATGCACACTAGGACCCCAAGAGAGGTAGGAACAGAGAGAACTCTCCTTAGCTTCCACCTCTTCTCAGGACCAAGCAGGCATTCTTCAGTTAGGTGTTGCTCAGCTCAGCACTTGATGTCCCAGTGGAATGTGTGACAGAGAAAAGGCATGCCAGGGAGGGCATGTGAGCCCAGAGCAGGGTGTCAACTGGAGGTGCCAAAAGGCAAGGGGTGAGTTCCCACCAACCATCCCTAGCTGGATGTTAACACTTGGGGACTTCTGGAGTTTGGCACCAGATGGGCCACCATTTGGGGACTATGGAGTCCCAGTCTGCCAGAGCTCATCCAGCCCTGGCACAGGCTCTGCAGGCTCCTCAGTGCCTGGAGTGGGGAGCTAGATTGGGCACCCAGTGGCTGTGTGGGGGCTATCGCTCTCCCCCAGGTCCTGGAGGCAGAACCTGCTCTGCTCATGGCTAACTAACTGCTTAAAATATTTCCCCTTTAAATGTATGGACCCCCGGTTCACTGGGAAATGGGCTGTCATTCATTCTGGCTACTTCCTGCTGGGTTGGGGCAGTGAAAGGACATTAGGAGTCCTTTGACACTTGCTGTCTGTCAAGCAAAAGGGATGGAGGTGGTTGTCAGTGTCCTTCCAAAGGGCCCACATATTTGTCCTCAGTGTGCCTGGGCAAAAGGGTGTATTCCTGTTCCAGTGGCTGATATCCTGTTGAAACATGATGTTGGCCTGTATCTGCTGAAGCCTGCCACTTCATTGACACCCTCAGCTCCAGTCCAGTGATGTTGATCCATTGTGCTGGGGCCGACTGGAGAGGGCCTCCTCAGTCCTGGGTCAGTATTTGGACTGTGATCAGTGGCCCCCACTCCCTTCAGTCCGAGGGACAGAGAGTGGCCCAGTGCACCACCTGCTGGCATCTGTAGCAAGGTGCCTTAGGAGGTTTGTCCCAATTTGGACACCTCTGAGCCAAATGGCCCGATTGTCGGCAAATGTGGCATTTATCTTTATTGGACTTGGCAGCCTGGGTATCTTTGGAGGCAGTTTGGCCCTGCAGGGCTGACAGTAATTGAGTGTGTCTGGTTTCTTTCCTTTTTTCTTTTTCCTTCACCCATAATTCTTCCTCTTGGTCTTGGTTGTGAAAGACCTTTGAGCCAGTGACTATGATCTCATCTAGGGTAACCCCTGGCTCCTGAGTTAATCTTTGAAGTTTTCAGCATTTATCAGGAGCCGATTGAGTTAAAAATTTGTCTTTTAAGATAACCTGGCCTTCGTAGGTCTCAAGGTCCAAATTGGTATGTTTAATGAAGGCTTCCCCATAGCCTATTTAAGAAGGCTGTGGGATTTTCATTTGCTTCCTGAGTGATGGTGGTTATCTTTGAGTAATTAATGGCCTTGTGTCTACTCCCTTTTAGTCCTGCCTTTAAGCAAATAATATAGTGGTCTCTTTCCCATTGATGCTCTGGCTTATTGTAATCCCATCGAGGGTCACTGTTGGGAACTGCTGTGACCCCTGTGGGATATTTGGGGTAGGAGAGATGGAGGCTATCTGCAAATTTTTGAGCTTCCCTTTGAATACTTTCAAGCTGTGTGTCAGATAAAGCTTGACTTACTATGACCCTGAGGTCCTTCCATGTCAAGTCATATGCCAGAGTAACATGTTGGAAGGCCTCTATATATCTATCTGGGTTGTCTGTAAAACTACTCATTTCTATCTTAACCTGTTTAAGTTCCACTAGGGAAAAAGATCTATGTACCAGTTGGGGCCCAATCTCTGGCTGCCTCCACTAGCGGACAAATCTTGGAAGGTGGCAGTGGAGGATTTCCCTGGGATGCACCCCCGTAAGGTGGTGGGGAATTTTATAGGACTGTGGGGAAAGGGAATATAAAGGTTATGGCTGGAGAGTGGCCAGGGTAAAGCATTTGTCTCTGTTGTCTATGGGGGATATTGCAAGCTGGCCAGCGACCTCCATGTGGGAGGATCTGGTTTGGTTTACTGAATGCTTCAGACCTGTGTGTGAATACAGGGATGCCCTAAAAATTCCAAAAGAATTGTTGGAAATTCTCACCAAAGTGGTTGGAAGTAAAAGGTGGAAAAGAGAAAGTGAACAGGTTATAACAGCAGTGGCTTGGCCCCTTCTCTACAAACCCGTCTGGAACTGGAGAAGACTAGGGAGGCTTTAACTTTGGAGAGGGATGTCACAGCTGCCTACTCCGCTAATGCTGACTTACTGTCAAAAAAAGTCCAACAGCAAGAACACCTTGAGGCAATGGCTTGTAGGGTGGCCAAAATTCAGGACTGAAAGCTGCCTCATGCAAAAGTTAGAACAATAATCTCTCAAGAGGATTGGAATCCCAAATGATGAGACCCACGAAACAATGGTTCATTGAACATTATCACTGAGAAAGATGAGGAGGACCCATTACAGGCATGTGTTCTAATTCAAACAAAGACCCAGGCTACTAGGGAGCTGGGAGACAATAGAGAAGAAATTTCTGCTAGCCAAAAAACAAGTGGAAGGTAATATTTTTTTGCTGAACTGGTGGAGCTTACCAGCAGATTTAAACAGAAGAGTAGTGAGGAGATGGCTGTGTGGGTGCTCCATTAGTGGAACACGGGGGAGATGGTGAGCTGGGAGACAATAGAGAAGAAATTTCTGCTAGCCAAAAAACAAGTGGAAGGTAATATTTCTTTGCTGAACTGGTGGAGCTTACCAGCAGATTTAAACAGAAGAGTAGTGAGGAGATGGCTGTGTGGGTGCTCCATTAGTGGAACATGGGGGAGATGGAGTTATGCTAAATGGCCAAGAAATGTCTAAGTGACTGCTCAGCCTGCACTTTGGCAGAGGCTGTACCTTGCCAAGGTGGAGGAAATTGAGCTCAGATAGCCAATCTAAGGGCTGGCATTCGAATGGCCTGAGCAAATGAGAAGGATGTGCCATCTCCACCCCTAGGGTGGATCTCCATGAAGAATTACAAGAAGTTGTGAGAGAGTTAGGGATAAAACATGTCCCCTATGCCCCAAATTTTAGAGGACCAGATGCAGAACTGTTCTCACCTGGAATGAAAGATCACATCCTTCAGTCTGCTCCTGGTGCTTGATATGGGACTTTGGTCTCCATATTAGCACCTATGGTAACTCAACCCACACAGAGAGTAGCACTGTGGCAGACCTGGGTGAAATGGACCAGTTTATCCATAAAGGCAATAGAAAGGTAGATAAAGGAAAAAAGAATGCCAAAGAAGGAGATGTTAACAAAAAGGACCCAACTAGGGTGTCCCATAAACAGCTATGGAAAGATCTAGTTTTGGCTCCTACCCCTAAGGAAGGTAATGCTAAGAAACCCAATTCTGTTTTGTTGAGTCTGTGGATGGTTCTTCCCAAGGATAAACAATTCACCCCATTGAAGAGCAAAGGGGGAGATATGGAGACACAGCGCAATGCACCTCCACCCCCCAATGATTTCCAGGGGTGGATTCCCCCCAGTCCTGGGAACTAGGGGGTGGACCAACATTGCCCTCTGGTGGGTGTGGTAGGGTTGACCGGAGGCTCCATGGGGAAGTTACTATACACTGGTCCTGCACTGACAGTGGCCTGGTAAATTACATATTGCACCTATTTAAGTTTAGGGGAGAGATTCGAGCCATAGATAGATATGGGGGTCAAACAATGAACGTAAAACAAATCAGCTTGTATTTGCAAATTGGATGACTGTTCACTCACCTTTTCTTTGTATATATCTCTCCCATCCCTGAATATATACTGGGGTTGGATGTGTTATCAGACCTTGACCTTACAATTACCACGGGTGAGTTTAGGCTGTGCATTCAAGCAATCAAGCCTATTTTGGCAGAACATACAAAATGGGACCCTGTGTGGCTACCCATGCCTCTCTGGGTTGTTAATATAAATTAATACAAGCTGCCAGGGGGCATGATGAGATCACCACTACAATTAAAGAACTAGAAAGGGCTGGGGTAATAAGACCAGACCAGATCTCCTATGATGGCCTGGTGTGGCTGCTTAGGAAACCTAATGGCACCTGGTGTGTGACTGTGGACTACAGGGAATTAAACATGGTCACTCCACTCATACATGCTGCTGTGCCTAATGCAGCTTCTCTTCTGGAACAGATTTCCTCATCTCTTAAGATGTATCACCATGTATTGGACTTGGCTAATGCTTTCTTTAGTATTCCCTTAGAGAAACCATCACAGAGTGTTTCCCTTTATGTGGAATGGGCAGCAATGGACGTTCCAAGTGTTACCACAAGGGTCCCTCTGTAGCCCCACCATCTGTCATGGTATGGTAGCTAGAGATTTAGAAAAATGTAAGACAAGTGAGTCCCTAAAAATGTATCATTGTATTGATAATGTCATGTTAACCAGTGATGACTTTCCTTTTCTCTCCTGAGCAGCAGTGTCTTTACAGCACACTTGAAGACCTGAGGATGGGAGGTAAATGACAACAAAATACAAGGGCCTGGGCAATTGGTAGCATTCCTGGGCATTATCTTGTTGGGTAGGACAAAAGTCACTCCAGAGGCCATGGTTGATAAAGCATAGGCCTTTCTCGCACCCCAGACTATGAACGATTTGTGGACACTTGCAGGGTTGTTGGGCCACTGGTGTCATTTACTCCTCACTTTGCACAAATCTGGAGCCCCCTGTATGCCATGGTAACAAAGATGCTAGATGGCATTGGGATACTCCCCACCAAGAGACATTTGATAAAGCTAAACTGGTTGTTAAACAAGTATGGGCCTTAGGAGTGTTGATGCCAGACATAGGCTGTGAACTGGATATTAGTGCTTATCCAGAGGGGTTTGGTTGAGGCCTGT